CCGCCGCGGGCGCCACCTGCAGGTGCGAGCACCCTGCAACTCTTGTCGCTATATTCTACTGGCTATAGACATTAGTTTCGTTGCACATTGAGGGATAAATAGCTATCAGTAACTTGAACTTGCGCTTTTAAATCGAAAATATGCAAAATCCGCCATTCTCGGTGTTTTTGTAGAGTAAATACTCCACCAATAAACAGTATTCCACAAATTTTCTACTCCTAGAACTATACTATGTTTATTTTATTACAGTTGCATAGTATTCGATTAAAATGATCTGTTTAAAATATTGACTAATTGCGTTAGCTGCGAGTCTATCGACGGCGTGAGCCAGTGGGCGGCGCTGTCGCGCGACCTGGCCGCGCCGCGCGCCGCCGTGCTGCACAACATCGACGACATCTACGGCAGCGCCGCCATCACCGTCGACCAGTGGAAACTGCACAAGGGTAAACATGTCAATACAAGTACTATTCGGGTAACAGCGAATTTACAATAGGAAATATACATGTTTTTTTTTTCTTAAAAGATTCTACTTGTTCTAAGATAACCATTGAGTTAAAAATTATAAAATAAAATTACTATCATTTTCGTGCGACTAAAACGCGACCAGAGTTAACTTGAGACAAGTGACGTCAATCGTCATATTTCATTTATTTCATTCATCACATTCGCTCAGTATCTTATTGGTACTCAGAGTTATCAAAAGTCAAAAATCGATTCATTTTCATTATTCGTAGTACAAATTAGTGGTAATAAATGATTTTCCTTCATCCTTTATTTTAAAGTTAGTTTTGATAACGTATTTACCATAAAATACTTCAAGAGTGAATTTCTATATAAACTAAATGTAAACGAACTGTGTATTGACCACACAGCGACGCCATAATAGATAAGCCACTTGCTTCGACCAATAGTGTTGCGTTATAGAACTTAGCGGGGAAATTTAAAAAAAGACGCTTTTTAATGATTAAATTTCAGCACTAAACCACATTATAAAGTATACTTAAAAAAAGCTTAGTCAATTTGGCGTCATATACACATTGGCTATTGTGTTTTGAAGGTACAAATTACAACGGTGCGTGGGACGAGTGGTACGGGCCGAGCGGCGCGGGCGAGGGCGGGCCGTACTCGGCAGCGCGGGTGCGCGCCAGCGGGGCGGGCCGCGCGCTGCAGCAGCTCGGCCTGCTGCCCGCTGACAACACCATGCTGGCTCTCAGGTAACACCTCCTGTCATTTATTATTCATATTCGGAAAATTTAAAAAACAAATTTTCTAGGTCCATAACTGGTACTGTTGCCTTACAATCATTACGACTATAGCACCAGTACCGGTTTTACAACTACTTTTTAACATACTTTGAGGTTAACAGACTGTGTAGTTCGCTGACTTGACGCCTTTTGGCCCAGCTCCCTGCGCAAACCGTACCTTAACAATAGCGCTGCTTTTCGTTTTTTCTCATTAAATGTTAGTTTATTTCAGTTATTGTACTGACCGCTAGTCAATGTATGTATGTCACGCAGAGAGGAGGCGACGCTGCGCTGCAACGCGAGCGCGGCCGCCATCGCGTGCCGGCCGCTCGCCGCGCCCTGCCTCTTCAACATCGACGAGGACCCCTGCGAGAGGAGGAACCTGGCGGACCTGTAAATATCTTCTCACAAACCTAACATTATTACATCTTTATTAGAATCTGTGACACTTTCCCTTAACAAAAAATTCAAAACTTTATTTCTTCTTCTTTCTTCTATTCTCTGCAAAATGTTGTATTAATATCTCTTTACTGTTCCATTTTCTTTCCCCTTTCTTTTATTGTAACAGTTTTTGTTGTGTAACTATTATATTTCGGCAACATATTGTATTTCTTTATATATAACAAAAAAACAATTTAAACATTACCGTCAAGTTCGTGTTTGTTATGAATAATCTCCAAAACGACTACAGCTATTTAGACGGTACTTTTACTGGAACACAGCTGCATATATAGCTGTGTTGTGTGGAGTAACAAAGGCCGTTTTGTTTATAATTTTCCACTGATTGTCATTCCAGTGAGCCGGCGACGCTGCGGCGCATGCTAGTGGAGCTGGAGCTGCAGAACCGCACGGCGCGGCCGCCGCAGCTGCGCGCGCGCGAGCCCCGCGCCGACCCGCGCCTGTGGGGCAGACTCTACACTAACTTCGGAGACTATCTACCCCTTAACTACAACTAAATACTTACCTCCCACCCTTTTGTTGTAAGGAACTTAACAAGAGTGAAACTCGCTTTAACATCGCTTAAAATATCGCGTGAAGTGAAAGTAATTCCGCGTGTAATTTGATGAGTATGCGTGTTAGAAGGCTATTCTATTCCACTTCCACCCTTTTAATACAAGGATGGGAAGTGGAAAAGGATTTTACGGACTTGGGATCTATAAATTGTTCTAAAACTGTGATAGCTTAATGTAAACTTTAATATTTTTTTACTTTAAATGTGTCAAAAAAGTGCTTAGAGTGCTTAACCAAGAATATAAAAATCCTATGAGATGCTTCAATCGGCTACAATATTACGCGCAATACGTAGTTAGAAAAATAATGAAAATATGCTTCAGCTTTCTCTTGTATATACAACAGATAACTATAAAAACATTGATTTTTACTTATAAGAAGACAATAATATAATAATTGTAAGTGTTGCATGAATTCATATTTTAAGATAAGAATAAAAAATACAGGAAGAAAAAGAAGCTACGCTGTTACTTGTGAGGTTTACAAAGCATTGTATTTACTTTTTTATTTTAAGATTTATTAAAAGTCATAATAACTGCTTTATAACAAATCTGTTTGTTTATAAAATCTGGTATCCTGTTGTTTTATGAATCTAATGTTTAAGAATAAAGAAGTTTAGATTATTATTTATATTTAAGACTGTTGAAATGAATGTTGATTTAAAAAAGGGTCGTTTTATTTTAAAGATATTTCTTTTCAAACATGTCGGTTGCGCAGAACTGCGCAGTGTCTCCCCACGTCACCAAACGAGATATTCGAACCGACAACATTTTTGAAAACCGTATTTTTCAAGAACCTTCCCTTCACTAGATTCATTAACTATTAGTGTTTTTAAAACAACAATTTTACTCCAACAAGTTAACTAAAATAAATGTTACATATGCTCAAAACGGCTATATTGATTGATCTATGAGAGTAAGTTTTATTTTTAATTAAAATCGCAGAAAAAGAAAAATACGGAATTTCGCTTGAATAGGGGCGACGGTTAGTTCAAAATAAAACAATAATAGTAATAATCATCTTTAATCAAGTTTTACAGCTTTTATTACAAAATCATTAGATCACTCAAATGGACCGCGGGATCTTTTGCCTTTGGCCA